ACAATATATGCCTGGGTCACAGGAGGATATAATGTGCAATGAAAGCATGTAATAATTTAGAATACTAGATTTTCATTGTGGTCTCTGACTTTTTAACCTTTCTATAGGCCTGTTTGATAATACATTCACAGCAAAAATGAATGAAGTAAGCACCTACTTAAATTAATGCGTGTGTATGTGTGTACATGTATGTTTGTGTGTTCTGACCCTCAGGTCTGTTGATGCTTTCACTGCTGCTTGCACAGAGATCAATAGGGTTTTGTCAGGTCAATTAATAAACAACCAGGACCAAACAATCTGCCTTTCTAGAGAGCAGCTGGACTCTATGGCTGTATTAGGTAGGTGATTTCTTATGGCTCGTCTCCACCGAGCGGTACGGGTCAGTACAGTACAGTACGGTACGATTTGGGACGGAACACCCTGATCCATCTTGCGTTTCCACTGCCAACACCTTACTTGTTAAGCGTTGTGTCTACTGGAAAGTAACGATCGACACCATTCTCGTGTGAAGAAGAAAGCGCGACAATAGCCATTTCTCAATATGACATAAAGCACAACTCTGCCTCTTTTGTTAAATGTCAGCTTCACCAATAATAGCCATTATAAATGTATAAGTACAAAGTATAAGAGGCTTATATAATAGGAAATAAAGACAAAAGCAAACAGTTCAGTCAAATGTACGCTACAAAGTCAGCGCTATATGGTAAAATGAAATAAATATATAAAGTTATGAAACATAACTTTGCGCTCAGCCAAAACGATATGACCCGGAACAAATAATAGATTCATGAGACCAACGATTGCCTGTTATATAACCAAAACAAATTATATTTCATGTTTAACCACTACAGAGACATCAGAGCCAGTGGCAAAAGTCAGAAGCACTAGTCACGTTAAGGCTGCTATCAGCCAGATACATGAGCACTGAGCACCCGGTGATCGCCTGGAGCTCACATCTCCAGCACATTTTCAAATAGGCGCTATCATTATAAATAAACTGCAAATTTTAATTTTAAAGGGGTCATATGACATTGCTAAAAAGAACATTATTTTCTGTATTTGGTGTAATGAAAAATGTGTTTATGCGGTTTAAGTTTCAAAAAACACATTATTTTCCGTATACTGTACATCATTGTTGCTCCTCTACGCCCCGCCTTTCTGAAACGTGTCGATCTTTACAAAGCTCATCATTCTGAAAAGCGAGGTGTACGCTGATTGGCCAGCTATCCAGTGTGTTGTGATTGGCCGAATACCTCAAGCGTGTGACGGAAATGTTACGCCCCTTACCATACTGTGATGCCGTGCCGTGCCATGTGACGAGACAAAACCAATAAAACCCATTACAAGTATTTGTTGCATCAAGTGGGCATTTGTTGCATCAAGTGGGGACATAATTACTGATTATAATGACTTATACTGTCTTTTTACGTGTTGCGTTGCATCACGCCATGTAAACATAAAACCATGTCTGCATTTGTGATCGGAGAAACGACAAACAACAAGTGCTACTCTACACTGCTCAAAACCCGCGTTTGAATCATCAGTGGCAAATCCTTTAAATATGAAAAGGTACTTACAGGCTGTGAGTCAGCATTATTTGTCAGAACACTGGCATTGTAGGCTACTCTCCCAGGAAACAGTCCTCGTCCTCCATAAAATGCGTTGCACACATCTAAATATTTGGTTTGAACTGTTCTGGAACAGTGTTGTAAATACAATTTAACCACTGATTTCTAGTTGTGTCCTCTTTTGGAAGACCAAACAAAGTAGTTTTCACAACGAAACACACAGCATCTCCAAGACATGGCTGCGGCAACAATACTACAGCGAGAATCAAAGTTACGCCTTCTTAAAACTACATTTCATGACACAATAACAGTAATATTTTGAAAATTATGCAGGTTTTGATGTTTCACAAGAACACAAGTACAGACAAGAATGCATATTGAGAAATGGCTATTGTCTATGTAAAAATATAAAATTATAAAATACACTATTATATATTTTTTGTGTGTTTGTTCACTCTGATGTAAATAAGCCCAACACGCATGAACAGCATGGCGGAACGAGTGAAGGAGACGCTTATAGCATGCGCAAGTGACGATTCTAGTCAACCAATCAACATTCTGCAGTGAGTCTAGCTCCACCCTTTTAGTACCTTTTGCTGTGCTAGGTACACCAACGGAAGGGTACCAAAAAAGTGGTATGGTACGGTTCGCTTTTTTGGTACCGTTCACAACTTTTGATAATGGAAATGGAAATAATCGCGTACTGTACTGTACTGAACCGTACCGCTCGGTGGATTATTGCACTGTAACACGTGAACAGATTGATTGATTGATTGATTGATTGATTTCTGCAAGAGAAAACGAATGAGAAGTTCCCCCTTCCCCCTTGGAAGTTTGCCTCCAAAATGGCACCAGTTCAGAACCACTGTTTTAGACAACATTGGCAAGCATTAGTTTATTGTATGTCAACTGTAAACATAATTATTGTTCATTTATGGTAATTCCTCAAATCCAATAATACAATAGACTTATCCCCAGAATTCTACTAGTTCATTAATCAGCTGAGTCTTTAATTCATGTTTTTTTTTTTTTTACAGTAGATACCATAGAGGACTAATATTTGTGAACATTTCAGGCTCCTATCCGGTCCCCCACTAGATTATTACCTGAAAGAGAGGGGGATTTTACAAAATTGCACGTTCTCACTCATTTTAGCCCCCATTAAAAATAATAAATAAAAAACAAAAATAAATAAATATAAAATAAACAAGTACTTTAAAATAAAAATTGTGTTTTTTCAATACCAATACATACAGGTAATCACTCACTACAAATAGGACAATTAAAATGGTGAAGCAACCAACTTTTGATACATTGCAAGACTACAGCCATGTAGATATTCAGACCAACAGCATCAAGAATTTTGTATTTGTTTGTATTTTTCCACAACATTCTTTCTTGTATGATACTGCTTAGGTGATATTTTGATAATTAGTAATATTAGTAATATTATTTTTTTAATTAAATGTTAAAGTGGTATCTAAGTTAAATACTTTTTTGTTTTTTCCAGAAAGTATTATTGAAGAAGCGCTTCGCCTGTCTAGTGCCTCCATTATGATACGTGTTGCCAGTGATGACTTTACGCTGACACTGGATTCAGGTCAGACAGCTGATGTGAGAAAAGGAGATTACATTGCTCTTTACCCCCAATTTATACACTTGGATCCTGAAATCTACCCCGATCCTACAGTATGTGTTCAAACTTATTGTCAATTATTTTTTATTAACCAATGAGCTCTCCCAAACCATGAGCTTATACAAATTAGACAGGTTTTAGATCATTTCCATCTGTAGGATATTTATAATATTTAGAATTGAATTATGTTAATTATGTTTATTGTATGGAATTATGGTAGTATGTATGTAGCTTGCACTTAAATGTATACAAGATTACAAAGATTGCAGATGTTCCTAATGCAGTGTTCCTATTGCACAATTCCAATACAGCATGTAATTGTTATAAAATATGTCACTCAATGCATTTAATATACTTACATTATACAGTAGTAACTTTGATACTGCAATGTTTTAGGCATCACAATGACTTTTTAAACACAGACAGCCATGTACAGTAAATAAAATGTTCCTCTGTTTCCCAGGAGTTCAAATATAACCGCTTCCTGGATGAAAAAGGTCAACGAAAGAGTAATTTCTTCAAAAATGAGCGACGGTTAAAGCATTTCTTGTTGCCGTTTGGTTCTGGTGCTAGCGAGTGCCCTGGCCGTTTTTTTGCAGTAAATGAGATTAAACAGTTCCTCGCACTGACACTGTGGCATTATGACCTGCAGCTCAGTGACCCTGATGCCACTCTGGTTCCAGACAGTACTCGTGCAGGCCTGGGTATACTGCCACCATCACGAGATGTCCTTCTCAGATACAGAAGGAAAACCAACACCACCACAGAACAGTTAAGATAGGAAATGGAAGTAGATGGAAAGCATAAGATGCAAGAAGGAACATGAAGATCTTTGCCTATAGGACAAGTGAAATGGCAGTCTTTCTAGTTTCTATATGTTAAATGATGATTTGATTTGTTCTTATTGGACTTTGTATGATGGACTGAAATCAATGAAAATGTAGCACTCTACATTGGCCTATAATAATAAAGTCAAATAAAGCCAAAAATAAAAAATAAAAAAATTCACAGGAAATTACAGGATCAAAAGGTGTATTATTTTACAATAAATTACTGCAGTCAGAAATTTACTGTGAAATAAAATGACTGAATGGACATTTACTGTTCTTGTTTTACTGTAAATTCACATTACAAAGTTGTCTTTAACTGTGCCACTGTGAGAAATGTATTTGTTTATTACTGTAATTGGTTTGAACTCACCATAATGGTGATTGATGATCCCATTTGTTTAGGGCTCTGACATTGCACATTTATATTCAAATTTCTGATCTAGTCATGTCAGAAGTATGATAAATGAAAACATTTGTCAAAATAATGACAAGCTAGAAACACAGTATGATGCTGTTTGTTTAAAATAAATGTCTGAGTGCAGTTAGATCCAAGAGAAATCCTACTGTGAAAAGTGTAACTCGGAATATACTTTAACTTCACACTAAAATATTTTTTAACAGTGTGCCATCATCAAATGATGGTAATATTTAGGCCTACACATAAATAAAATCTTCACACATAAATAAACATGTAAATGACTATATGAATGACCACGAACAGCCAATGCCGCTTTTTCAGAAGGTTTAAGAGGGTTATTGGAGTAACCTGTGCCACTTTGGTGTGTGTGTGTGTGTGTGTATCAGGTTGCTATGTATTATGCATTTCTTTTACATAGTAGCCTATGTCACAAAGGTAAATTCTTCTTCTCAAAACCACTAAAACCAGTACTTTGGAATGCTCATGAAAAATGCTCTTAAGATTCTGTATATGTTGTTTATTTGGTAATTTTGTCTGTTTTGATGTGTATTGCAGCTTCTCGTTGCCAATTATTGTTATTATTATCAAAAATTGTATCATTTAAAACTGTTGCAGTCCAGCAGAAAAGCACAGGCCAATGCTTTTTTCCCCTCGCGTTTTCATGTACTGCGAGCAAGCATAGCTATTTTGGTCGAACGAGGGCGCTCGCTCAGAGGAGATGTGCTGACAGGCGCTCGAGTAGGCTGTATTTCCCTCATCCAGCACACCCGATGACATTACATTCATTACCTCTAAGATCCAGTGAACTAAATCAGCTGTCATACGTTTACTATCGAATAAACCGGACCGACGAGCACTGAAGCCATATAATACTTATTGGTGCGACTAGACTTCTGCAGCGTCAAGGTGAGTGCGCTTAATCTTACTAAGCGTCAGAAAACGAGCTAACGTTGAATTGTCACAGTCACAGCTATTATGTATAACTATTAATTATTTATATATAATCTCTTAAATTGCGCTGTATTTTATTCTATATAACGCGCAACCTGTACATTCAAGCAACAGACCTTCTTGCACGAACGACCAGTAGCCTAATAGCCTATATTTGTTGTCATTTCGTATCTTTATAAAGCGAAAATGACACATGGAAATGTGGAAATAAGGAAATGTTTAAAAAAAAAATTACAAATAAATATATTAATAATAATAATAGTAGTAAGTAAATTGTATTTATAGAGCACATTTAAATTCAGCTTACACTGACCAAAATGCTGTACAAAACAATCCTAAAATACAGTAAAGTATAACATAAAATTAAAATTTAAATCCAAGATAACAACACTAATCCATAAATTAAAAATCAGGAAAGGCCATAGAATAAAGATGCGTTTTAAGTCTAGGAATAATAATAATAACAACAATAATAATAATAATAATAATTGTCTGGACTACCTTTCTATGACGTGTTTTATGTTTTTAAATAGTAAATTGTATTTCTATTGTTACAATAACTAAAACATTAACATTTTTTCAGGAAATTCATCCAGTGTGCTCGAAACAGAATAATAACCATGTCACTGTATCCATCTCTAGAAGACATGAAGGTGGATAAGTTCATGAAGGTTGGACATTGATTCATTTATGTGTGTATGTATGTATGTATGTATGTGTATATGTGTGTATTTAAAACTATATATCTATCTATCCAAAATGCTAACCCACCACCCCCACAACCCCCCATTTTATGTAGGCACAGAACACCACTACTGCGAGCCCATTAAAAGCTTTACCTCTTCCAGAACCTGAGCCTTACTATGATGCAAAATCTGAAGAGATAGGTAAGAATCAGATACTGTGCTGTATCTACGTATGATTACAAAATTTATGACAGAAACGAGATTTAGACCCTGAGGCTGAGCTTCAAATAAGGGTGCCATGGGTACCTCACAAGAGGCTTTAGAAAATATAGTCCCACTTTAGTTTGGGAACCAATTTTCACTATTAACTTTGACTTTTGCCTCATTCAACTCCTAATTTGCTGCTTATTAACAGTAAGGTTGTTGTTAAGTTTAGTATGGGGTAGGATTAAGGGATCTAAAATATGGTCATGCATAATAAGGCATTAATATGTGCTGTATAAGTACTAATAAACAGCCAATATACTAGTAATATGCATGCTAATAAGTAAATGGTTAACTGTCTCTAAACTAAAGCATTACTGGATATATAGGGTTCTTACAGTCTTGAACAATCAGGAAATATTATGGAAATTCCAAAACTGATATTTTCATGCCTGGAAAACTCATAGAAACAAGTAAATTTGAGTTATCAGATTTTTCTCACTTAGCTTAGACCATTTTTAATGTTGTCTGTCTCTCTTTAGCTACTTCTAGCAGGTTGTACCCTGAGCTGAATGAGTTTATGGGTCTAAATCTCAGTGCAGAAGCTCAAGAAACTCTTTCCTCTTCAGTTCCTGACCAGACCAGTGGGGTGAGTGTGTTTATGCCTGAGATCAGCTTATTCCCTTTTTCAAAATAACACACAAAAACAAGACATTCTCTTGTGAAAAACAAATGCACTTTGCATGTATTTAAAAAAAAAAAAAAGTACTTACTACAGAAATTATTTACTTTTTGCCTTTTATTTACAAGTGAAAACAATCCATGACTAAAAGACAAACAAAAAGAAGGCATAAATCCACAGGAAATACAAAAAAAAAACATCACAGCTTAACTTGCTAATAAAATATAGGCAGTGTTAAGAAAATAACTAACAGAAATCTGAATGGACATGGGGTGTATATTCACAAAATAAAATAAGGAACAAAACTATATTCAGGTGAACATGATTCTGTAACCAAGGAAACAGGAAAAAAGCAACAGGAATGTAAATATACCACAATGAAAAAGAAAAAAAAAAACTTAAGAATCCAAGAAAACCTCAAACTAAGAGTCCTAGAAAACAGAAGACACATCACACTTCGGACTTAAGTACAACTGTATATGTCATTTCATAATTAATTCCATGGTCTGTGAAATAAGGTTAATGCTTATTTCCGAAAGTACTGACAGGTATTTATGGTAAACTAATATACTGTAACAAACCTGTAATGATGGTCCACTGAACAGCAAGTTGTAGATGAATCCAAGTGCAGATTTATTATACAGTGAAATCCAAAAATCCAAACAAAACACAAAGACTTGACTAGATTTGGCTTGACTTGACTATACAGACATGAAACAACTCACCAAACAGAGGTTAAAGGCCGGGACACACCAAGCCGATGGTCGGTCGTTGGCCAACGTCGGGCCGACGGCAAGCGACAGTCGGGCTAGTTTGGTGCTTTGGTGTGCTCCACTCGTCGGCTCTCGTCGGGCTCACGTCAGACTCACGTCGGCGGCAGTGAATCGGTGTCGGGGCCGTCGGGACCGTTGGCGTGAGTGAGAGCATGAGCATAAATTACAAACATGTAATTTATATTTTTATAGAAATATGACAATCACATTATCTCACACAGAGATCGCACTGTCATAGTGTTTGGGAACATTCATGCATAATTTAAATACATAATCACATGAAATCAGATAAAAAAATAAATATTTTAGAAAAGAACCGTAGCATCACAGGTGTCTGAACCAATGAGCATTAAGCTGTGACGTCAGTCAGTCGTTTCCCATCATGCTTTTGGTCAGCGCAGTCGGTGGAGAGCAACTGCGCTCAACTGCACAATCCGACACAGCCGCCTCGCCGTCGCGACAGTTTTTTTGCACACGTCAGCATGACATCAGAGCAAGTCGGAAGTAAGTCGGACACTTTTCTAACCGGCATGCATCTCGCGGTGATCACCGGTGATCGATTCTGCGCAGAATTTGCTCATCTCAAACAAGCCCAAGGTCAGGCGCTGCAGTTGCTCAAAATCGGCTGTGAGAGCCTTGATGACGACACACTTTATTCTCATTGGTCAGATTCTGTGATGACAACCACGACGTGTGTTGCGTTTATTCTAACAATTCGTGGTTTTTATAACAGTAAAAGCTTTTTTAGTGTAGTCGCACTGTTGTCTTGAGTCATGTTTATCAAAAAAATACTGATAAAAGCATATACTGTATACCCCCACTTTATTGGTATTTAGTAGCCTATTTGTCTATGTTGAACTTTATTCTTGAACAGATGGCGCTGTATTAAGCAGTATATAAAAAGTGATCCGTTGCCAATAAAAATGTTTCTGTGTATTTGAGAAATATTGCATTTAATTCACTTTATCTGTTATAGAGTATGCAAACATTGCGAGAGCGTCATTACCGGGAGCATAAAGTGTCTGACTTGACGTCGCCGCTTTTAATTCCGCCCCGACTGCAAGTGGCTGCTCTCGACAGCTGGTGGCAGGCTAGTGTAGTTCATCTCGAACAAGCCTATTGGCAACATGAGGGCTATAAATGCCAAACAATAAAGGTCACATGACACAAACCAACCAATGGGAAACAAGGCACATGACTAAAGCAACCAATCACAACATGGCACACAGACAAGAGTAGCACATGACATGATCACATGAGGGGCAAGAAACACGTGACAGGAACATGAAACAAGGCAAAATATCAAAATAAAAGACCAGAAAACCTAAACAAGAAACAAAACCCAAACCCCACGTTACAAAACCAAAAGGACCACGGAAAGAGAGGAGCACACCAGAATGGCAGTATATTACATACATATATTACAGTATATTATCTTATATTCAATTTTAAAAGCATAACACAACATAGTTAAAAAAAAAAAAGTTCACATACTAGTTTCTCTGAAAACAATGCTACAGGCAGTTATTCTACTTTTGAAAAGTGTGTTCCGTGTCAGAATGTCTGTTTTTTGTTTTTCTCTTTGTGATTCCACCCACTGCCAATTTACCCAATAGTATTTTGACACCTCGGGTCTCCAGTTGGTGCAAAACACAGCGTATTGCAGCCATGGGAGATAACAAATGAACTGGGTCAGAGATCAGAGATTCTACCCAACCTAAAAAGCCTCGGCATCCATCTAAAAAGCTCTATAACAAGAGGAATAATAAAACGCAGATAAATCAACTCAACAACTTACATTATAAGACTCGTTGCCTTCCATTGTCAGTTGTGCTCATTCCTCTTGTGTGTCCTAATCTGGCAACCCGTGTGAGCATTGAGTCTGAAGAGGAGCCTGACAAACGACTCCAATATTTTGAATTTGGACTGCAGTACCCATTTCAACTGCTAGCTGTCAATATTACATACTGCACCCTTAGGAAGCTGGTTTTACCTTACTTTATCTTTGAAAATGACTTTCATTGGTATAACTTAATGTCATCTTGATTACAGTCACTTAAAATAATATATTTAACTTGAATAAAACCAATTAATTGAGATGTTACCGCATGAAGTATATTTTGGGTAATTTGACTAAATAGTTTTTGCAGTATTATATATTCCCCAATGCTTTTTAGGCTCTTAGTGTCTGCACACATGGAATGAGCTGGGCGGCAGCCCCCATAACCGGAAGTGACCTGGGGGTGAAGCGGGCAGAGATTCGACAGGGTGTACGGGAGGTGGTGCTGTGCAAAGACATGGATGGGAAGATTGGCCTCCGCCTCAAAGTCATAGATAATGTATTTATTTGATGTTATAAATACTTTAACTTTTAAACTTGAATTAATATAATTTATTAATCTAACAATCCAACAAGAGAGAATCTATTGCAACATGTCAATAGTCTGCAGTTTTTAGCTGAAAAATGTATCAAACATTTATATATTTGAATAATTTCTGTGTTCTATGTTTTAATGAATGACATCCACATTCACATCATAACATTACACCTCAAAAGTATAATGGGTAATCTCTGATTAACATTTCCAAATGTGTGTTTCAGGGCGTGTTTGTGCAATTAGTGCAGGCTAACACTCCTGCAGCACTGGCAGGGCTGCGCTTTGGTGATCAGATTCTGCAGATCAATGGCAAATCATGTGCCGGCTGGAGTAGTGATAATGCACATAAGGAGCTTAAGAATGCCAACCCAGAGAAGATCACTTTGGCTGTGCGAGACAGGTACACACACATGCACACACACATCACATCATACATAGAGCATTTTTGCAGGTTTCAAATACTCCGCACAATGATGTTTAATTTATGAGGATCAGGTTGTCATGAATTATTCATGAAGAGATCAGACACAGGAGGGTGTGTGTATGTAGTTTAAGCCTTACAACTGTACAGCAACTATTGTTGTAAACCATTGTTAATACTAAAAAGTATGTAGGTATTAGAGACACTCGTGAAAAGAGTTGTCAAAAGAATTTTAATTTGTCAAACTGTATAAGCCAATTAATTTTTTGGCCAAGGCCTGAATTTTAGCCACAGTAATAACAGGAGAGAGGGGAATGAGAAAAGCCCTTGAGTCAGAATTCAAGCTCGGGTATACACCAAGCACTGTTACACGATACGTGAAAGTATCAGGCTATGGCTCTGACAGCCCAGCTACTTTATTTTTGGTATAAAGTAAGTATAAGTATAAATTTGATAGAAAATAATGTGGAAGATGGAAATTAATCATAAAAAACAGGACTTGAACTTAGGTCGCCAGGAGCACAACCATGTTATGTGTCAGGGTGCTGCCCACAAGACCATCGGCTGTGACAGTTTAACTACTTTTTAATGCAGAAATAGCATAATCCAAAAAGCATCCATATGCTATTTAACATTTTTTTTCTGTCTATGTTTATTAAGTTTTCTGAAAGAGATCTTGGTTACATATGTAACCCTGATCTCCTGAATAGGGAACGACTCACTGCATCGGTAGCTGATGTAGGGGTGGGCAGTATGGCAAAAATATATCACGTTTTTTTTTTTTTAGAAATATCACGATTCACAATTTTATCACCATTCTTTGTCATGTTGGTTTTACTATTTTGCAAGCTGTCTAAGCAGTACAACCAAACTAATTTCCCTGTTATAAAGATAAAGCCTTACAAGATAACAAAATATAAAAAAGAATGACAGATATGTAGGCCAAAGTGGGCGAAGATAAAAATCTTTGTCATTAAAAAATAAGAACAAAGATACACATTACAAATACACATAATATACAAATAAAACAAACAGTGTTTTATTTTCAGGTACAATAGGTGTATTTAGCCAGAGCATTCAAGAAATTGAATGAACAAATATAAAACTAAAACACTATTGATTCCTATTAAAGCAACTGCATTAAAGTTTTTCAGTCAAGACTAGTGAGTGATTTTTCTCTGTGTTTTGTTGTTTTATTAACATTAAAGGGGTCATCGGATGCAAAATTCACTTTTACATGTTATTTGAACTGAAATGTGTGTTGGCAGTGTGTGTACACAACCACCCTATAATGATAAAAATCCACCCAGTGTTTTTTTTTTTAATCCAGAGAAATAATATCCCTTTTTTCAAATCAAGTCATTCTCAGATTTTTGGCTGTGTGACGTCACACAGACCCAGGCCCCTCCCACGATTGTTGATTGATGCTAGCGTTTTACCTTAGACCTGCCCTGAGTGAGCTGTCATCAGTCCGCCATTGTTTCGACGCCGGAGCAGTTGTAGACAAGAATGTCTCCTAAGTGATTGAGATGTTTTGTTGTTGGATGTAATAATGAACATAGCAGTCGTCATTTACTCCCGACATCTGAGCCACTGAAGACGCAGTGAAGTATGTTTGTTTTTGAAGGGAATGCGTCCCCTGATCTGCCTAAATGCGTTTATGTTCGTGCAAATCATTCATGATTCAGCTTCACCACCAGAAGTGAGTATACGTTTTTTAATGAATTTTGCAAATCACCTTTCCTAATAATGTGCTAGATAGCAAGTTTCACGATGAATGTGGCTAAAGTTTACAGTCTCTCAGAGAACCACGCATCACCCCACGGAGGGAGAGGGGCAGGGATAGCAGAGCTTATTAGCATTTAAAGGGAAATGCACTGAAACGGCTTGCTGTGAAAAGAGCTGTTTTGACAAGGTAAAAAGGGTGTTGTTTTACACTACCATTGAGACATTTTAACCAAAGTATGTTATAGACTTTTCATTAAGGCCCTAATGAATCATATCAACTTGTGGAAAATGGGCATCCGATGACCCCGTTAAAGGAATATTTCACCCAAAAGTAAAAATTCTGTCATCTGTCTGTCAATGCTGTCATAGTGTTTTATTTTTATACCATCATTTACTCACTCAAAAGATGTTTTAAACCTGAATGAGTTTCTTTCTTCTGCTGAACATAAATGTTATTTTGAAGAATGTGGGTAATCAAACAGTTGCTGGTCCCCAGTGACTTCCATAGTATTTTTTTCCTGCTATCAAAGTCAATGTGGGCCAGCAACGTTTGGATACCCACATTTTTCAAAATATCTTCTTTTGTGTTCAGCACAAGAAAGAAATTAATACAGGTTTGGGACAACATGTGAGTGAGTAAATAATGACAGAAATTAAATTTTAGGGCGAACTATCCCTTTAATGACAGTTGTTAGCATGTCTAGTACCGTCCCTTTAAGACCTGCACTCATGTAATAATACAGGCAAGTATCCATTTTTCTCTCAACTGTTTACTTTCATTTTAGACATAACCAATTGAGTCTATATGTAAACCTTTTGGGTTTTGACAGTATTACAGCAAAAGATAACATCTCGGTTACATTTGTAACCCTCGTTCCCTGAAGGAGGAAACGGAGATGTCACGTCGGTGACCGAGGAATTGGGGAATCTCGCAAGAGAGACCAATCCACTTCAAGTGTAACTAAACGAGCTAATGGACATTGGCATGCGAAATTCGCATCTGGCTGCCACACCCGCACAGGTATAAGAGGCAGCAGGTGCACTGCATTCATTCATGTTTTCGCTGAGGAGCCGAGCCAGGGACCCGGCACCTCAGTGGCGGTACAGCAACTGTGGCGAAGGGACGTGACGTCTCCGTTCCCTCCTTCAGGGAATGAGGGTTACAAATGTAACTGAGACATTCCCTTTCGGTCACTCTCGACGTCACATCGGTGACCGACGAATTGGGAATCCCTACCAACGCGCCACAGGTGCTGCCCCCTCCAGTGCCCTGTGTATGCCTCCTGAACCTTCCTATAAGGCAGACGATAGGAACGGGCTCTACACAGAGAAGGTCGACTACTGCTGTTCCTCAAGCAACCCAAACAGTAGGACTTGGATAACACTGGGAAAGTGTGCCCTTCCTACTTGGAAGAGGCACACTGCGGAGTCACCTTCTCCCAGAGGGGGTGGAGTGACATTTACTCATGTGGAGTAACCCAAAACGGTCCTATTGCACATGGAAGTCTCTGAGATGGCTCAGGCTGCATCATCTAGAGACGGCAGAGCATAGCCTGCCAGGGGAAACACAGCCCTAGTAACTGTACCGTGGAAATACACTTATGGGATCCCAACAGGGTCACTCACGCACTAGCCTCACACCAGATTTCAGGAATTCATTGGATGAAAGGCCTGGCACTGGACGCTCCGCCACATCCGGCCGCCTGAGTGCTGGAGGACTCGACAGGGTTTGCCTGGTTAGGGAGCTCTCGGAAGAACTAGGCATTATGAACGCCACAAGCCGACTCTGAACTGGGCCTCTCAGTGCCACTACCCGATTGAGGTGAGAACACAGGAGGAAACCGGTTCGACACGTAAGCTATAGAACCTAGCGAACGTGTTAGGAGTCGCCCAGCCCGCAGCTCTACAAATATCTGCTAGTGAGGTACCACGAGCCAGCGCCCAGGACGATGCGACACCCCTAGTGGAGTGAGCATGCAGCCTGAGTGGGCAGGGCACACATTGTGCCTCACAGGCCAAGGTGATGGCATCCACTATCCAGTGGGCCATCCTCTGCTTGGAGACAGCTTTCCCCTTCTGCTGTCCTCCGTAACAGACAAAGAGCTGCTCTGAGGACCTAAAGCTCTGAGTTCTATCCATGTACTGCCACAGTGCACGTACAGGACAGAGAAAAGCTAGGGCTGGGTCTGCCTCCTCTAGGGGCAGCGCTTGCAGGTTCACCACCTGGTCCCTGAAGGGAGTGGTAGGAATCTTGGGCACATAGCCGGGCCGGGATCTCAGTGTTGCACTGGAGTCAGCTGTCCCAAACTCGAGGCACAATTCGTCGACCAAAAATACCTGCAGGTCCCCCACCCTCTTAATCAAGGCCAATACAGTCAGGAGTAGGGTTTTCATGGAGAGAAACTTCAACTCGACTGACTCCAAAGGCTCGAATGGAGCAGTTTTTTAGGGCTCTTAGCACCAATGCTAAATCCCAAGGGGGTAAGGAGGGGGGCCTAGGAGGATTTAACCTTCTGGTCCCCCTAAGGAACCTGACGACCAGGTCGTGCTTCCTCACCGTGTGCGGAGATAGCAGCAACGTAAACCTTAAGGGTGGAGGGGGACAGCCTACGCTCCAACCCTTGCTGCAAGAAGGAAAGCACGGCACTGATCGAACATTTCCGGGGGTCCTCTCGGTGAGAGGAACACCATTCGACTAACAGGTTCCACTTTAAAGCATAGGCCTGCCTCATGAACGGTGCTTGTGCTGAAGTGATAGTGAGCGCTACCTTCTGGGGTAGGTCACCTAGAACCTCCGTGTCCCATCCAGGGACCATACATGGAGTTTCCACAGGTCCGGACGCGGGTGCAAGAGGGTGCCCCATCTCTGAGAAAGCAGATCCTTCCTCAGAGGAATCTGCCAGAGGGGGGCTGTCGTGAGGAGCATGAGTTCCGGATACCAGGTGCTGTTGGGCCAATATGGAGCCACTAACAAGACCTGCTCCTCATCCTCCCTGATCTTGCACAGCGTCTGTGCGAGTAGGCTCACTGGGGGGAACGCATATTTGTGCAGACCCCAGGGCCAGCTGTGTGCCAATGCATCCGTGCCGAGCGTTGCCTCGGTTAGGGAGTAGAACCACTGGCAGTGGGTGGTTTCTGGAGATGCAAACAGGTCTACCTGAGCATCTCCGAACCATCTCAAGATCAGCTGAACCGCCTGGGGGTGGAGTCTCCACTCCACCTGGAAGTGCTGCTCAATTGAACACTCCTGG